GTGCTGATATCCCTGTTCGGAATCCAGCTTGACTATCTGGGTGGATGGCCGTTGATGTACTCTTGCAGTAATTTTAAAATAATCTTCAGCAATATTTTACTTGCATGTGATACTGTTCAATACTTTTCACACTGTTAGATCACTTTTTTTTAGTAGTAATAAATACGGTAAGTCAGTTGGCCAGGTAACTGTGTTCCAAATCTGCTGGCACAGGCTAGTAAGCACATTCAGAGCTGCATCTGTTTGCTGAAGCATGTCAACTGGTATTTCATTAGTTGCTGGGCCTTATTTTTTGCCAATGCCTTCAGTGCAGTTTGGACTTCTTCCTTTATTACCATTGGTTGTTGAGCATATGCTACTTCCTGAAATGGTTGTGTGTTGATAATTTCTTTTGTTACAGTGACTCTGTGTACTCTGTCCATCTTGTTTTGGTGTTTCTTGTATTGTATTTTGCCCATAGAATTCTTCAGTAGCAACTGGAGGTTTGAATTTGTTCTTTAGTTCTTTCAGCTTGGGAAATGCTGATCACGTTCTTCCCTTTTAGTTTTTTTAATGCCAGCTCTTTGCACTTTCTGTTATAATACTTTGGTTTGTCTTTTCGAGTTGCTTTTTGAAATCTCCTGTCATTGCTCTTACTTCAGCATTTGTATTTGTTCTAGTGAAAGTTTCAGAGTCTCTTCTGACATCCATTTTTGTATTTTCTTTTTGTAGATATGCTCTTAATTATGTTAAATTATTCTTCCATTTCTGTTTTACTGAGTGCTTCTTATCAGGAAACTGTTGACTTTTGTCAAATGCCTTTTCTGCATAAATTTATGATATTATGTGGTTCTTTTAGTTTGTTTTATTTATGTAGTATAATTATTTTCTTATGTTGAACTATCTTTGCTTACTTGGTATTAATCCTACTTGATCATGATGCATGATTTTTAAGTTATTTTGGATTTCTTTTTGGTTTGAATATTGTTGAGAATTTTTGCATTGGTGTTGATAAAAGATACTGGTCTATAATTTTCCATTTATTAATCTCTTTGCTTGGTTTGGATTGTTGTTGTTAAGTGTTGTTGGATAGTAGGCGACTCATAGCGACCCTATGAATGAAAGACCTGGACACTTATATAACTTTCATCCTTTCTCCAGGTTCATAGAGTTTCCAGAGGCAAGCTATTTCAGAAGTGGATGCCACTCCTGCTTCTAAGCTTGTTTGAATCAAGAGCGCCACCAAACACTGTCCACCATGGTAACCATTATCCCACTTGACACATCAGTGTCACAGTGTTCGGCTTCACAGCGACCACAAGTTACCTCTGTATGGCAAATGGACACACCAGGGCTATACAACCTAGATGAATGTTCACCCCAAACTATTAAAAAGAGGTCTGAGGGCCACAGATTAAAGTCAATCACCTTTGGCTTGGTAGCATCACTTTCTGTCCACTAGGCCAACTGATCTCTTTCTATGCTGTTGTTGTTAAGTGGAGTGGCGTCGTAGGCAACTCAAGTTATGCTTCATAATATAAATTCAGGATTATTCTATATTTTCCCTATATTCTAAAGTAGTTTGAGTAGAATTAATGTCAGTTCTTCTCTGAATATCTGATAGAACTCACCAGTGACGTTGTCTGGGTCAGGGATGTACTGAAGCCAAAAGCCAGGGATGCTCACAGTTAGAAATAAATGGACAGTGTACAAAGCAGACCTGTTTTCATATTCTGTCTTTCTGAGCCTCAGTTTTATTCATCTATAAGATGGAAATGTTAACATATCACATCTCACAGGCTGCTTTAAACCCTGTATAATTCATCAAATTAAAATTTTATCTCAACACATTCTAGCTGTATCTACTGGCCTTTTAGAATGATCTTTGTCTTTCTAGCTGTGTGGCTGCTGTTCTTTGAGGCTATCCTTGGCGTTTCTCACAGAGCTGACTGTATGCGGCTCCACCATGCAAAAGGATGGAAATCCATCCTTGGAAATGGCAGAGCATTGGCAATGGCAGAGTGCAAGGAGCCTGGATCCCCACATGACAGTGAGGAGTAGTGCTGCCCTGCCAGGCAGCACCAGCCACCTGTGGAGTTATAGGGGAGAGAAGTAACATTCTATTATGTTTGATGCATAGGCATCCGGAGACTCAAAAAGGGTAACTGAGCCTGTACTAATCCAGACCTCAAATGTTTAGCAAGCTTAGAGTTTCCTAGGCAAACGTCTCTGGCAGTGGTTCAATGTGCCTGAGACTTTGGTCAGAAGACAGAAAGTCCACTCTAGGACGTTCATTTGCTACCATGACCCTAGCTAGCTCACCTAACCCTCTGAGCACACCAAGATGTCGTCCCGCCTCGTAAACCTGCCTTTGATAAGGCGGTGTGATTATGTCCCACCGAGCTGGAACAGACCATAGCTGACCCTCCAGCGGGTTTGCAGAGGCAGTAAATCTCATGGGAGGAGACTGCTTATCTTTCTCCCAAAGAGCAGATGGTGGGTTTGAAGCCCATGCCTTTGGCTTGCCAGTGCTGCTCCTCATCACCGCACCACCAGAGCGCCCTTTGATGATGTGAGGGGCATGCAAATACATGGTAAATAGTTGAGTGCTAGAGAGTAGGAAGAGGGTTATTATTAGAAAACCTGTTGAGGATGAAGCTTAAAAGAAAAAACCCAAACTTACTGCTATGAAGTTTGCTATGCAAACTTACAGTTATCCCCTCCGCTAGGTTTCAGGAGCCATAAAGTTTCTGGGCCTGCAAAGTTTCTGAGGCTGTAAATTTGCCAGGACGTAGGTCTTTTGGGGAGGAGAATGTGGGGAAAGAATCTTAGTGTGGTTGTAAATACAAGAACCCTCTCTGCCTGCTGTCTGAAAATTACAGGCTGAGAACATTTAGGAATATATCTGACCCATATTATTTTATCTTTAAAATGAACATATAGTGATATGGGCTTTTTTTGGGAGAGAGGTTTCCAGTTCTAAGAATGCACATGCATGGATTCATTTCCACCACCCATCTCTACTGACCTGCACTGGGGGTAGCCCGAGTGTAGCTGCGATGGTATCAGCTATGCCATTACCATTTCAAATACTAGCAGGGTCCTCTCTGGTTAGATAGGTTACAATGGAACTTCCAAACCAAGAAAGACTAGGGGGGAAAAAAGACCCCATGACCTCCTATCAACAATTAGTGAATGAAAACCATACGGATCACAGCAGGACATTTTGAATCACAACACAACAGAACTTGCTTGATCGATGGAATGAGGAGGATGGAAGAGCACGGAGGGTGAGGGACAAGCTTTGTGACAGTGACCGGCACACTGGCCACAGTGATAGATTCGAACATGCTGGTGATTGTACGGATGATTCGGAAGTGGGGAAACATTTCATCCTGTTGTACAGGGGTCTCCGTGAGTCCGGTTTGTTCAGGAGCGGCTACCAATCAGCTCAGGTTACCTTTCGTGCGGGCGGGCCCAGGGCTACAGCCCACCGTGCAGGCAGCAGGCTCCCAGGTGTGGTCTGCAGCAGCAGCTGGAGGAGCCAGCGTGGGCTCAGGCTGCGGCACCTTCTTCCCAGACCCACCTCTGGGGTCTGGCTTGGCTCACAGGCCCTGGAGGTGCTGGGGTACCCCTCAAAGGCTTGTCTCCTTATGATAGACTAAAGGCGGTTGACCCCTTTGGGGTGGCCACTGGCTTTGGGCTCTTGTACTCTATTTTTTATGGGACCATCTGGAAACTGGGATTTGTATCTGTGTCCCCTAAGTCTACAGTGGCTTCTTGCTGTCTCTTCTGTCTGTCTGTCCAACTGAGTGGCTGAGTGCCCAAGGCCAGGGCCAAGCTTCTCCCCCTCCTTATTTCTCTGTCCATGGATACTCAGTCCCAGGCTTCCTATCCCTGTCATGTTCCCCATTACTTTGGCTCAAGCCCTCTTGCCCTCCAGTCCTGCAGTAGAATTTTCATCACTGGCCCATTCCTCCAGCCTCCTCCATCCTCACCCCTACCCACCATGGCAGCCACATCCTACTGGGGACTTTCCATGGCTCCAGTGGGGGTGAAGTCCCTGCCATCCATCAGGGCTTTTGTGAGCTTCCTCCTTCTGGCTACTGCTCAGAGCAGACTGGCCACTTCCCCAGTGCCCATGGGAGCACCTTTCCTGTTCCGATGTACTAGGTGCTTGTAGCAATTACCCTGAGTCCATTCTTATTCATGACAGGGACCATTGGCTGTTTCCTAAGACATTTTGGCCTGTGAGGATAGGCATTATATCCCTGGCTGTGACCTCAGGAGACTCAGCACCCAGCACATAGTCAGAGAGAAGGGAGGCTCTTAATGGGCCCCCATATGTGACTCAAGTGCCCTGCTCTTTCCCCATCTAAATTCCACCTTTCTTCTAGAGCTAGTTTAAGGCCAGCTTCCACCAGGAAGACCGCAGTAATCATTACTTGGAATTCCCCTGAATTTCTAGGTCTTCAACATTTCCTGGGGCTGTGGAGATTCCCCCAAAGGGACTATGTGTGTCCTGTGTACCCAGTCACCAAATCTGGGTGCAGAAGACATCTGGAGGGCAGAAAAGACAGTGCTGGAAGAGAGAAATGCCTGGCGTTCAAGGGAAGGATTCTGGGCTGGGCATGACAGTGGGGACCTCTGTTCCATGGGCAGGGAAAACAGTATCAGGTTCAGGCTGATCTAGCAACTGCCAACTTTAATGTGGACTCTGACAGTGGGAACACAGCGGCAGCCAGGGGACTCAAGAGAGGGCCAAGGAGGGTGCTCACCAGTCTGCAGAAGGAGGTGCTGGGCTCAGGCCAGTGTGGAGAAAGCCAGAGCCTTCAGGGTTGATGACCACAATGAGGACCCCAGCAGCCCAACCCTTTATGACCCAGCAGCAGGGGCTGTCAGGCTGTCTGTGGGGGTCAGAGGGTGGTCAGGCTAATGGGGAGGTCTATTCGGATAGCAGTCTGCCTGATAGTGCTGCTCTGAGGCAGCTGGGCTAACCAGATGACCCCGGGTCAGCATCCTCAGCAGGAAATGAGCAGGGAGCTTGGGCGGGCAGGTGCTGTGGAGGCCGGAGCTGAGGACTCTCTCTGCAGCAGCTTGCAGCCTGCCAGGGCTTGGTGCAGGGCATCCAGAGTGGCCAAAGGCCCAGTGTGCTCTTCTGGAAAGAAAAGAGCAAAGAAGCACAGGTTGAACCTGCAAGACCCAGCTCTGCTCACCCAGCCCACCCAGCTCCCTCCTTCTGGAGGCCCCATGCCCTCTGGGTACCCACCGTGGTGCCCCTTGCCCCTCCCTGCACTAGCCAACTTCCTCTGAACGCCCTGCTTCTGCTGCCCTCTCTGCTGTCCCTTCCCCACTGAAGGCACTTGGGAGGGGAGTATCCAGCACAAAATTCTTTTTTTTTTAATTTTTATTGTATTATTTTTACGTGTACCGGCAAATCAGATCTGACTGGTACAGGAGGAGATTGCCCCCTCCTTCTCCAGCAGAGCATCTGGTGGATTTGAACTGCGTACCTCTGGGAAGCACGTAATTCTTGATGCCAGATTCTGTGTGGGGCATAACGAATCTGGATGAATAGGCCCTCAGCTCTGCCCAGAGAGGCCTAGTGAGGCCCAGAAAGCAAGTGCTATATCACTGCTGGTCACCGCCTTAGCCCCACGGGCCCCTCGGAGTACAAGATTGTCCTTGCTCATCTGGGGTTCACAGAGCACAGGCTGGTACTGTGGGAACTCAGCTACCTGAACCCTTTCTAAGTGTGGCAGCTGAATCCCAACATCATAATATTGGGCCTGGATGTCGCCAGTGCTGGCTTTCTCTGTGCCCCATCTCCTTATCTGTGGAAACCTTCCTCCATTCCTCATGGGATTGTTGTAAGAACTCAATGAGTTGAAAATATTTAAAGCATTCACCCAGCACCTGGAATCCCTGGTTGGTGCGAATGGTCAATATACTCAGTTACTATCAAAAGGTTGGGAGTTCTAGTCTACGCAGAGGCATCTCAAAAGAAAGACCTAGTGATTCACGGGAAACCTAAGTGAGCAGAAGTCTACAGGCGTACATGGGGTTACTGTGATACACACTCCACTTCTTTAGTTGCTGTCGAGCTGACCGTACCTCACAGTAAGTAGCCCAGGGAACAGGTACGTCTACACGGTTGGCAGGGTGTTCTGTCCATTCTTGCTGGACTTGGCTGCACTGGTTTCTGGTTGGGAGTTTTATTCCCTTGCTCTTTTTAGGAGGGGCTAGTCCTTGGAGAAGGACATCATGCTTGGAAAGGCGGAGGGATGGCACAAAGAGGAAGATTCTCAACCAGATGGACTGACAGTGACTTAAGTGTGGGTTCAAGTGTGCTAGGTATGGTGAGGATGACACAGGACAGGACAGGGTTCAGATGTGTTGTTCATGAGGTTGCTATGTGTTATACTTGACTCGATGCACATAACAACAACAGCTTGTGGAATAGCACTTTTAGGTTTCCTAAGCCTGCTCCATCACGGTATGCTTCAGTTATACAGGGAGGGACAATGGCACCATTTTACAGAAAGAACATTCCAGATGGTCAGTGCTTGGCCTGGGCTGAGGTTGGGATCAGGATGCATTTGCATCCTGTATCAATTACTATCTTGTGTTGGAAAGACTTACCGTGCTGGGGATCTCTGTGAGTGTCCAATGTGCTCAGCAAAATCTTCCCCAAGGCTCTTTTTGAAATGTTCTTAAAAACAAATGAGGACAGGATGGATCAGATGAAGTCACCCTCATTCAAGGGGCAGGAATAGGGGTCTCTGTCAGCTCTTTGGGACAGTAAAGTGCCACTCTCCATTGACCCACTCTGGGCCCCTCAGGCTGCCCCAGAGACTCCAGGGGTGCTGGATCCACTCCTTCATAGATCACAAGCTTATTAATCACCATGTTCTTGCTGTTGTGTGCTGTCGAGTCAGAACTGACTCAGAGCTGACCCTCCAGCAGGTTTTCAGAGGCAGCAAAACACATGGGAGAAGATTGCCCATCTCCCCTCCCTCCCACCGTGGAGCAGGTTTGAACTGTGTGCCTTTGAGTTGGCAGTGCAATTCCTTACCACTAGGCTGCCAGAGCTCCCTAATTACCATCCTGGTACTAGGGAAATAACCATGAGTGAAAGAGCATGAATGTATGGTACCTCATTTAATCCTTGCAACAATTTTATTTTGAGATCCAAGTTAGAATAGCTTTGTAAAAGTGGGACCCCTCCCCTTCTTTCGGCTAACTTCTTGGTGCCTCCACTTCCATATCTGCATTAGGGAGGTGACCAGCACCTCCTGCAAGGAGAGTGTCCACCTCAGCTGGACTCAGGTAGGGGCTCGTCCCTGGAGCTCCATGCCATTCCCAATGGTCTGGTTCTCTCCTGTGAGCCTACCAGGGCCCGGAGCCTTTGCAGGAGCTGCAGCACATCCACCAGCTTCTCCTCCAGCAGGGACAGTCGCACCCGCTCCGTCTCTACCATCTGCAGCTCCAGCCTCAGGTGTGCGTTCTCCTCCTCCTTCCGTTGCAGCTCTGCCTGCGGGGCCAACGGGCTCAGTGCTGTTTGCTGCCCCCCTTCCTGGTACTCCTGGCTCCCTTTCTTGTTGCCCTCAAAGAGGAGCCCCTGGGTGGTCTCCAGAACTAGAGAGCAGGTTTGAGGTGGCACAGTGGAGTGGTTAAGACCATGGCTCCATGCCCAGCCTACCTGGTCTCACTCTTCTCAGGCCTTCTTTTCTACGATGGGCCAAGACATCTGGCCCAACCCTACCTCGTCTGATTTTTTGAAGACAGCATGAGGCAAAGCTCAGCCAAAGCCTCACACACAATTGTGTGTCGTGTGTGTCAGCTGGTATTAGGGAAAGAGGACTGTATGAGATCACAGGCATGGGGAAAGCAGGGCCGATTCAGAAATTTAGGTATACACATATATTACTATTAATCACTATCAACAAATTGAGACAGACTCACAGCTGACCCTCCACTGGGTTTCAGAAGCTATAAACTGCATGGAAGGAAATTGGCTCTTTCTCCCAAGGAGCTGCTAGTGGATTTGAACCACCAGAGAATTAAGAATGCAACTCTCTATGAGTCCACTGTGCCACCAGAGCTTTCCTATGTATACATGTAACACCATCTTATATCAAAACTGTAGTTTCCAAAAGTGCAGCATTTCACTTAGTTACCATGAACAGCTAGGTCACTATGGAATTGATGTTGCTGTTGGTGGTGGTACTGTTGGGTATGACTCATAATGACCCTATATACAACAGATATGAGTCCTGTCCTGTCCTGTGCCTCCTCATCATTTCTGGCATACGTGAGCTCATTGCTGCAGTCACTATCAATCCATCTCACTGAAGGTCTTCCTCTCCTTCAATGACCCTTCACTTTTCCAAGTATGATGTCCCTTTCCAAGGAACAGCCCCTCCTAACAACATGTGAAGGGAGCTCTGGTGGCCTAGGGGTAAGAAATGGGGCTGAAACCACAAAGCTACTTGGTTCAAACGCACCAAGCGGCTCCATGGGAGAAGGATGGGCAGTCTGAAAACTGGCTCTGAAAACCCGCTGGAGGGTCAATTAAGGTCAGTTCCTACTCAATGGAGTTTAACAACAACATGCAAAGTGGTCTCATTGAAATGTGGACACTTTGCTTGGGGCTGTGTGGGTGCTGCATACCTCACCTTCCTTTCCAGCCTGGACTTGGTGTCACACTCCCTCTCCTTTGGCCGAGTACCCCCTGTGCCTTTTCCTCTATTGTTAATCACAGAGCCTTGCCCTTCCCACTGACCACAGGGATTGGCCCAGGGACCAGCAATTGATTGGAGCTGGACCAACTGGAGTCTTTCGTTGAGATTCAGTACAGTAGGAATAAGACTCCTTTTCCCTCTGGAGTTTCTCAGGTGAACTGATGGAAGCCTGGAGCTGTCTGTGGCCTCTCCCTCCTTCCTTCCTCTATATGGAGGAACCCCCTCTGAAGATGGGCAAGAGAGGCCAGCACCCAGAGAAACACAGAGCTGACACTCCGGTGTCAGACTAGGCCTGAAGTTCCTGTTCCCACTCTCAGCTCCATGTTCCAGTAGAATATGCCTCATTACATTGACATCAAATTAAACTCTTCTTTTTGGAATCTTGGTTTACTTGGCTTGCTTATCTGTGAGTACGACTGAGTTCCCTTGAGCCCAGCTCTTGACCTGTGGTGCCCAGCTGACCTTCTCCCCAGGCGTCCCCAGGGTCTTCCTGCCACAGTCCTGGGTCCCCAGATGCTCCAGCAGCACGGTGACTTTGGCCTCCAGCTCCTTCAGGGTGCAAGTGTGGTCTGTATTGCCAAAGTGGCTGAAGTGAGTCATAAGGTTCTCGGCAAACTGGCCATCGCACCTGCAGCAAGGGAGAGCAGCAGCGGTGTAGGAAGCTGCAGCCTCAGAGAGACGCCATCCCTCCACCCATCTCCATCTCAAAGATGAGCCCAGCTACTCAGCATCCACCCATAGCACCCCATTCCCTGAGAGGAAAAGCCAGAGGCCTGACCTGCTGTGCCCTTGACAACTCTGACCTCATTCCCTAATTTCTCTGGCCAGGGAACCTCCTTCCTGTCCCTCCAACATGCCTCAGGGTCTTTGCACTTTCCAAGTCTTTTTTCTGGAATGCTCTTTTGCACTGTATATTCTCCCGTTTCCTTCCCATCTCTGCTCCAATTACACCTTCTCAGGGAGGCCTTCCAAGCATCCCCCTGCAACCCCTCCTGCCCATTCCACATTTCTCATTTTTCACTAGAACAGAGGTTCCGGGAGAGAAGGGCCTTTGTCTTGTCACTGTTTTCCCAGAACTCAAACAACTACTTGGGGACTCCTAGCGATTCTAGCTACAGTAGGTCAAGACCCTGCCTGATCCTGCATCCTCATCCTCCTCTCAATCGCTGAGCCAACTCTCTTGTTGAGAGCCTTCCTCAATGACGCTTTACTAAACATAGTGTCTTTCTCCAGGGACTGATACCTCCTGATATCATGCCCAAAGGAGATGCTTAATACATGTTGGCTTATTAAAGGTACAGTGATATAATAACCCCAGAACAACCACAGTATTTTACAGTATTATACTGTAAGTTAATGCTGCCTCCATATACTTAACTAGGTACCTGGCACCTGTTGGGCATTTTATGTCCTTCATCTCAAATCTTCACTAAAGCTAGACAAGGAGTCTGAGGCTCAGGGTAAGCAAGTGACTTCTGTGAGGTGTCCTAGGCACCGTCAGCCATTGTGGCTCTGGGTATTATGCAAGCTGATAGGCAGGTAACAGCACCTGCCCAGGGCCAGGCCGGAAGAGGAGCCACAAACAGGTTTTGTTGTGAGAAATGGGACCAGTGAAGGGCACTGGAGTTTTGAAGCATGTCTTGGGACAAGGATCGAGTTGATGGGAGGTCATTGCAGCTTCCCATAAGGTGCATAGGACACTGAATTTCCACACAACAATCCACCTAGGTGTGGCTGGGCCTGGAGTAGGCCAGTTGGCCTCCCCGGTCAGAGCTCTGATATAGACAGCCCACGACAGGCAGGCCCTGGACGTTGGCCTGGCACACACACCTGCTCCTGCAGCCAAAGAGGCCTGCCAGCAGCTGCTTGACGTGGGCGCACAGGGGCCTCTGTTCCCTCTGCCACTTCTCCTCCTCTTCCTCCTTGTCCGAGGCAGCCTGACCCTCCACGGACCGGAAGAGCTGCTCGCCCCCTGCTGGAGAAGCATAGGCACAGAGGCAAAGCCAAGCGCAGGGTCAAGGCAGGGGGCCAGGCAGCACCCTACCCCTAACCCTCTCACCCCAGGGAATGGAGTGCACGTGGAGAAGCTCTGGTGTCTTCTCCTGTCTCTTTAGAAATATTCTCCTACTCCACTCTCCTCACCAGCCCAGGGGCTGCCAAGAATAGCATCACCTTCTACATGACCGGCCAGGAATGAGGCTGGGCACGCCACATCCTCTCTGGGATGGCACTAGAGGAGGGACACTGGGAAAGATGACCCAATGGCCAGCTCTCAGAGGTGAGCACTATTTCTATGTTAGGATGTGGTGGTGCTGGCCAGAGAAGGCCAGGTTCTCTATGAGGAGTTGGGGTCGAATAGATTTGAATTTTGGAGGTGGGTCTTCCAGGTCAAATGAATCTTTAATTCTTAGAGAACTGAGGGTGTGTGGAGCAAGAGGGTGTCGCGGGTGTGACCATCTGTGATCCTCAGTACAGCTGTGCCTCGGGCAATGGTGGCCAACCTGACTGAGCCTGAGAGAACCCTGGGGCCTGCTTGCTCACCTTGATTCGCCCTGGACATGGTGTGCGGCCTGCCAGTCAGTGCACAGAATACTGCAGTGCTGCAGTGATTTGGTCAGGGGGCGGTGTGGGGACTGATCTGAGCCACAAAGAGGCCAAACTTTGACTCAAACTTTCAAGGAAGAGAAGAGCCCTTTTGTCCTCTGGTCTGGGAACTGGGGGTGTGTCCTTCTTGCTCTCCTACGTGGAGAAGGAAGCAAGAGGAAACACCGTGAAAGACAGGGTTCTGATGGCGTTTCAACTTTGCCTGATGTCCATGGATTTTTAGTTATGTGAAGGAATAAGTTCCTTGTACCTCAAGTCATTTTAGTTAGAATCATCTGCCATTTGCAGGGGGGGAAAAGTTTTGATGTGATTGTTTTTTAAAAAATTGATATAATTAGGAACTCCCACCCTGGAGAATCATGAGCAGTAGAGCTGGGGGAGTCTGGTTCTCCATACTTTTAAAGTTCCCAGGAGCTCTGACAGCTGAGCCGGCCTGGGAGTCACTGACTGAGGGGCCCTGATTCCCCTGCTGCCCGTGCATGGTGCTTCTGTGATGACCTAATGAGAGGCATCTAGAACTAGACTTGCATCAGAGCTTTTGGGGGGTGAATGTGTTTCTCACACTGACAATTTATTCTTCCCTTTAATGAATTTTCTGATGCCGTACCTATGTGTGTGTGTGTAAACACATGTGTACAGAAGTGACCATGTGCCTGTGTGTGCATAGGACATATGTGTGCACGTGTGAACCAGTATGAGTGTGCATGGTCCATGTACGTGTGTGCACTAGCATGTGTTTGTGCACGGTGTACATGTGTACATGTGTGAGTGTGTGCAGTATGTGTGTACATGTATGGATTGGTGTGAGTGCAGGTGTTTGCATATGGTGCATTGTGTACACAGGTACATCGGTGCAAATGTGTGTGATGCAAGTATGTTCAAATGTGTACCGGTGTAAGTATGTGTGGATGATGCATGTGTGTACACGTGTACATCTATGCAAGTGTGTGCTGCATGCATATTTGGTGTGTGCATGAATACATGTGTGTGTGTGTGTTATATTACTGTCCTGGCCTTGAGGCAGCACAGGCAAGGACTCTGAAGATTGTGGATGTAATAGATGACCACCAGCACCTTTACAAATACCCACAGGTAAGCCAGTGAGCCTCAGCTAGCTTTTTCAAGTCCTGGGGAGAGCCAATCATTCCCTCTTCATTCTGATGGCTACACAAGCACCAGGACCTGGTTCAGGCAGGCTCTTCAGAGGATGGGCCTCTTACTTCTTCAGGGGCAACCATCCAGCCACTTCCGACAGCCCTCTGATGGGGGGTGTTCTTCTGTCTCAGCTTCATGGGGAGCAGACCTGCCTCAACATGGAGCTGAAAGGGCTCAGGTGGAAGTGGTCTCCAAGGTGTTCCCAGCAGGAGCACCCTCCCCATGGGCCATCATCACTCTCACAGGAAAGGGGCACCTGTGGGCTCAAAACAGCCTAAACAGGTAGGGGAGCTGGACGGTCTCATGGAGGCCCACAGGCTCCTGGACGCAGGGCAGGGCCTCAGCCGACCAAGTGAGCCAAGGAGTAAGCCTGGGTGTGAGGGACCAACCTTCATCCAAGACTCGGCTTCCGGAGCTGCTGTCTGATGGCCAGGCCGCTCCCTCAGGAGGGGGGCCTGGGGCTCTGGATCCACTATACGCAGGTTCGTCACTGTTGGCTGCTGGCTCTGGGTTGGTTTGTGGTGAGACTCCTGACCTGCAGGCAGGAGGAGATACAGGCTCTGAGGGGGGCCTTGGCCAACTCCACGAAGGATAGTGGAAGTGAAGCTCTCTATGGGGCAACCAAAAACAATGTGACAATTAACTCTACAAAATACACAGTCATGTGTAGTTCATCAGAGCCAGCCTTCCATGATGTGGTGGGAATGCCAGACATTCACTATCTCAGCCTCCCTTGTAAGATAAGAAAAAGGTTTGTAGCCCAGGGTTAGCCAATAACACTCAAGACAAAATCTTCAGGGGGGCTCCCAGGTCAGAATTTCATCCACTATACTATACAAAGAAGCCTAGGAAAGGAAATGATCCTTCCTTCGTATCTTTGGACATCGTCATGTAAAGATGTAATGTTGGGTCTCCATTCCTTTCAGAACATCCTTCCTTTTACTCACTTCAGTGATATATTCATTCTTTCCCTGCTCTTCCTTCCACAGATGAGATTCTTCAAAGTTTTCATATATGGGCAATCTCTCCCCATGAGATTTACTGCCTCTGTAAACCCACTGGAGGGTCAGCTCCAACTTGACGGCACACCACCACCACCACCACCACCACCACCACCACCACCACTACCACGTAAGTATATGGAACTATAACTCAATAACACAAAAACAGTCCAATTAAAAAAGAAAGGATTTTAATAATTATTTCTCCAATGAAGATGCAGATGTTCAATGTTATTAGTTACGGTCGTTGTTTGGTACCACTGAGTCACAACCCACCCATAGCTGATGCTTGAGCAGGTTTTCAAATGCAGTAAATTACACGGAAGGAGAGTGCCTATCTTCCTCTCCTGGGGCAGCTGGTGGATTCAAACTGTGTGCCTTTGGGTTAGAAGCAGCCACCAGAGCTCCCTCGTAAGTTGTCATTGAGTCAGAACTAGCCCACAGCTGACTCTTGAGTGGTTTTCACACTAAATGGGTAATCACACGGGTGGAGAAGGTCCATCTATCTTCCTCAGAACAGCTGGTGGACCCAAGCTGTGGACCTTTGCTTTGGCCGTGCGATTCCTTACCACCATTAGTCATCAGGGAGATGCAAATTCAAAATGTTATCTTCTCCTGGTTGTAGGTTTTCCAGGATACTGGGAAGACTGTTTATGTTGTGGATTAGGACTTCTAGTGTTGTTCCTAGCTTTTCTGTAATGAAGTTTATAGTCCTTGGTTTTAGTCCTAGGTCCATGATCCACCTTGAGTTGGTTTTTGTGTATGGAGTGAGGTGTGGGTCTTGCTTGAGTCTTTTGCAGATATTTTTCCAATTTTGCCGACACCATTTGTTAAAAAGGCTGTCGTTTCCCCACTTCACTGATTTCATCTCCTTGTCAAAGATCAGTTGACCATAGATAGATGGGTTGATCTCTGGATTCTCAATTCTATTCCATTGATCTATGTGTCTGTCATTGTACCAGTACCATGCTGTCTTGACCACTACGGCAGTGTAGTAGGATTTGAAATCAGGGAGTGAGATACTTCCTACCGTTCTTCTATTCTTAAGGAGTGCTTTGCTTATTCGGGGCTTTTTCCCATTCCATATGAAATTGGAGATTGCCTTTTCCATCTCGTTGAAGAATGGGATTGGTATTTGTATTGGGATTGCATTAAATGTGTAAATTGCTTTTGGTAGTATTGCCATTTTCACAACATTGAGTCTTCCTATCCATGAGCAAGGGATATTCTTCCACTTTTCAAGATCTCTTTTTGTTTCTTGTAGTAATGTTTTGTAATTTTCTTGGAAAAGGTCCTTTGTACTTCTGGTTAAATTTATTCCCAAGTATTTAATCTTGTGATTAGTTATTGTGAAAGGTATTGTTTCTCTTAGTTCTGGCTCTGTATTCTTTGCACATTTTGTTACAATGCTTTGTCTTCTTGAGCTACGGTTTAAAATCTTCTGTTCACATTTCTTACTTCAACAGTTCTTCCCTTTTGTTTTGGCTTCTTTATGTTCTAGGCTCTTCTGGGGTTCATTCTGGTGTTTTCTTTCATTCTTGTCTTTGTACTGACCTTTTGTTTTCTTCATGGATGATGCCCTTAATGTCATCTCATAACTCATCTGGTTATCAGTGTCCAATATATCAAATGTATTCTTGAGAGGACTTATGAATTTGGTTGGGGTAGACTCAAGGTTGTATTTTGGTTCTAGCAGACTTATTTTCATTTTTTCATGTTGAATTTGAAGGTACATATGAGTAGCTGATGGTCTGTTCCACAGTCAGCTCCTGGCCTTGTTCTCACTGCTCATACTGAACGTCTCCATCGACTCTTTCCACAAATGTAGTCAATCTGATTCCTTTTGTAGTCCATCAGGTGAGGTCCATGTGAGGTCCCTTCAATTATGTTGGTTTTTTTTTAAAAGTTATTTAAAATGAATAGATAATTGATTTTTCAATTAAAACCATTTTTCTATTCTGTCATCCCCTAACTTTATTTTTTACATCAACTATGCCTCCCTCTTGAGTACTTTAGAGAGGTCCCTAACAGCAGACTTTCCCATGGCAATATGTCTTTTAATTTCCTGGCTGTTGGTGCCAAGAGTGTTGACTGTGGAGCCAAGCAAACT